GCTTTGTGTTACGGATGAACTACTCTACTTGCATACAAAGTTTCAGAATTTTTTGAATTTTTGAGTTGCCTAATGTTCCTTGTGAGCTTCACACTGTGAAAGAAAACGCGAACGTCGAAAAGCAAACGATACTCCGTATTTTTCACGCACACACGGCCGTCTCGGCCATCCGGCACTGCAAACGACTCGGTGAAATCATCGTTTTCCGCTAGAAAAAATTCCGACGTTAATTGGTCAATTTTTCTTACTCGAGAGTGTCCTAAAATCACGAGGTAGAAACTGCTGCGCGGAACACGGAGGAAGGGGATTACGCGAATAATGGCTTCCAATAGCGAGTGAATCGTGCCGTAGCTGGCGGTCGGTGTTGGCTTAAATTCTGATATTCTCTTGATTCCTGAGAAAAAGCCACATTGACACAATGGTAGGAGCAGCGAGGACCGCGAACGCGACGCCTCGTAAAAAATCCAGGACGTGCGAATCGGATTGTCCGCATTTAACTGCCGCCGTCGGTCGCAGTTGGCGTATTTGAATTTCGTCTTTCTCTCGAAGGAATTTTTCACACCGCCTCCACTCGTGCCGAATGACGAGTGCCGTTGTCACTCCTTAACGAGCGTCTCTCTCTATCCGTCTACGATTCTTTCTGATATCTTTAATTATATCTATAATTCTGTTCGATCTCTCTCTCTCTCTCTCTCTCTCTCTCTCTCTCTCTTTCTCTCTTGCTCTTTTTCCCATATTTATCTACAAATACAACTTTGTAATTGTATCTATAGTTATCTGTAGTTATGTAGCATCCTCAGCCTTTATCTATAATTATATCTACAGCTGTAATATCCTTAATCGTCGCAAGGACAGGTAATTAATTAAATCTTCAAGTCGACCTATTCTTATCCACCACCGTCGTATCGGCAAAGAGAACCTCACAGTCTTTTATATGACTGTACGAGGATATTATCAGGCATTAATCGATCAACATTTTCTTTAATTAAAATAATCAGCTATTAATAAGCGGAATTAATCGTCGTACATGTAATCACAAATAATTTAATTGACCGATAAAATTATAATTAATTAATTAAGTGATTTTATATATGATGGTTGATGAATTTTGACTATTAATCTACCGATATTATTTTAGAAAAAGAGACACAGAATATCTTAATCGATTAATGCCCAACATTGTTCGAGAGACACGATCGCACGCGCACTGAAAGAAGAAAATGGTTAATCTAAAAAAATTACACTGAGAAAAAAATTTACTAAATTTCAGAAAAAGTTTGTTTGGATGCAACTGTGTGTCAACACATATTTTTGTTTAAATCAAGTAATTATTTTCTAGAATCAAAGAAAGAAATTTATATTTAAAACTTCTTTATTTAATTTTAGAAAATAATGATTTAATTTAAACAAATACGTTCACAGTTGTATCCAAACAAACGTTTTTTGAAATTTAGTAAGTTTTTTTCAGTGTGGTTATTTCTTAACCACATATTTTTGTAGTAAAATAGAAACATACATATACATATAAAATTATCTAGATTAGATAATAGCATTTAATAAAAACTTGAAAATTTGAAGAATTCGCTACAGTAATTTTACTATAAAATTCTCTCTCCGTGTAAGCGAGCTGAGAACGGGATAATACGTATGTACGTGATAATAGGGACGCAGTAATAAACGAAATAATCTCGGTATCACGTGGAAATGTGGAGCGCGCTGGGTTTCTTTTTATCAGGGCAGAACGGAACAATTTCATTTTCCGACGGCCGTAGAGGATGCTCCAGCGGAACAAACAGCAAAAAGCAAGAGCGACCGCGGACTTTAACGGAGACTTTCGATTCTTCACTGTCGAGAGGAAAATTGTGTGTGTTCGTCTCGCTCATTAATCGTCACCTGATTACGTTCACGCATCCGTTATGGGTATCGCTGGAATTACCAATCTACTCGCGATTCGGATGCCTCTCCCTTTCCATTATTACTGTGTATGAAGCTCAGTTATTGTATAAAATACCTAGATATTCTACAGAATGTCTGTCAATTCGTTAAAAATTCGTCTCGTTCTAGACTTAAGTTACACCAGTCTAGCGTCTGAAAATTAAGCGTATTTTTGGGAATTTTTTATGGGCAAACAAAGAAAAAAATTGAAAATTCGTTTGGAAGACTTTATTCCACAGGTTTTAAAGTGTATATTCAAATTTTTATGTTAACGTATATTACAAAATGGCGGCGCTACAGTCTTGTGAACATGAGGGGGTTTTTCGAAACGGGGCTCTAGGACTTGCAGTATAAGTGTCGCAAATGTTGATCTAGAATAAAAAACCATAATTTTCCGTCATCCACATGCCAATAGCTAGAGAAGTACGTAGGGGATTTTTGATATATTGAAAATTACGCATTTTATAAACAATTTTCGACGAAATTTTTAGGGTACAAAATGAAACTTTTTCCTTAAATCCCACTTCTATCAAAATAAATATTTCAAAAATCTCCTACGTACTCTTTTCTAACTACTGACATGTAGATGACGGAAAATTTTTGTCTTCTGTTCTAGATTAATATTTGCGACATTTATGCTGCAAGCCCTGGAATCTCGTTCCGAAAAACATGCTCATGTTGACAAGGCTCTAGCGCCGCCATTTTGTAATATATGTTAACATAAAAATTTGTACATACACTTTAAAACATGTACAATAAAGCCTTCCAAACGGATTTTCGATTCATTTCTTTGTTTGCTCACAAAAAATTTCCAAAAATCCGCTTAATTTTCGAACGCTAGAGTGGCGTAACCCTTTAAAATGTTGTCGATTCTCTCTCTCTCTCTCTCTCTCTCTCTTTTTCGAACAAATTCTGCGGAGATGAGATCGGCGCGGCTTTCTCTTCCAGATTGCCTCCCGGAAAAAATCCGACTGGCTTCCCCAGATCCGCGAGGAAATTCGTGAGGGACGATTTCGTCGCGAGTGTAAAGGCGACTTCTCTCCGACTTCGTGCATCGCGCACGAAACGCCGTATTTCCTCGCTCGATTCGACGGGTGAAATTCTAAGCGACCCGCGACCGTGTGAGGTAAAAGGCTGAAAGTGTCCGCCGCCGCCGGTTACAGGGACTTTCGATTCGCCGTCGATGCCGACGAGGAGGACGGTCGCCGCGCCGTCCCGGTTATAATCGTCATCTCGTTTCATGCCGTTTACATCTGGTCTCGCCCTCTCTGTTCTGCTCGCGCGAACGCGGCTCACTCCTTTCCACATGAGAATCTAGGTCGCACGGCTGCGTTCACCTTCCAGCAAAAGCAATGTCTTCCAAGGAAGGTCGTCGCTCGTCTGGAAAGGCTCTCTTCCGTGCCCAAGAGTACACGACGCTTTTCCCTCTCGTTTAATTATCCGTCCGGCTCGATTAGTCGCCGCGCTCAATCTCGGTCAGCGTGAGAAAAATTTACGAGTGGAAGAAATAAAGAGGGAAACCGACCCTGCCGCCTTTTTATCGGCTATTAATCCAGGAGCCGTGAAATATAGAACAGATTTTCGCGCGGGTTAGCGATAATTGAACATTCAATCTTGACTAATCGATTCTGTCGATATTTACGAGTCCAAGTTTCGTCTACACCGACCTCGTACGATTCAATAGCGTTTGCGTGTTTAAGGGCATGCAAAGTGGATGACTTCACAAATGTCGATAACGTAGAAACGATCGTTATTAACACGATCACATTATTCTTTTTCGTATTTCTTATTACTAACACAATCACACTATTCTTTTTCGTATTTCTTATACATGTAAATCTCATATTCTCATCAGTCCTATGTTTAATGCGTTGGAAATTTATTTTGAAGTTTTTGAAATCTGGTTGGTTCCAATGCAAAATACAAAAAATTAAAAATTCTAGGAAAATTCTTTTTTATATCCTAGTAATCCTCCTGAAGTGTTAAGAAAAGATTTGATACTTTCATATATCAATTTTGAAAGCGCTTGGCTTAGGACAGTAGTAATAGTAGATTGCGGTAGTAATAATAGATTCGAGTAGTTCTTGGTAATGTTTTTGCCAACGACAAAGGGGACTCCTGTCATTCGCCCAGTTAGATCCATTTCAGTTCCTACTTTGATAAGCCTGTCCGCCTCCTCGTTGGCTATTACAGCCTGATGGCTGGAGATTCAAGTTGGGGTAATGTTTTTATTAGCTTTACTCAGCTCTTCTATCGCTTTTTTTGCAGTTTCAAACCGCCAATGATTTCATAGTGGTTTTAGCAAGCGCCGTTAGCGCCGTTTAGCGGCTGCCTTGCTGTCGGAACAGATATATATATGCCTCTATTTTCCACTTCAGTGAGATTCTAGAATTCTACGCATCCTGGGATGGCCAGTACTTCGGTTTGAAAGACGTAGTTAAGCCATAGAAATATTTTCCCTATAATTTATATTAAGCTCATAGAAACTACGATGACTACCAATACGATGTAAACTTTGACAGAAAGAAAATCAGTACTTTGTGGATGGAGTTTTCAGATACGGCATCTTTGTAAAACGCGTGACTGACCGATGTCCGGGCGAATCAGCCCGGAAAACTAATTAAAGATAATGATTCCGAGAAAGTACGTACACGAGAGGACGATTACTTTCCAATAATTACTCTCTTACCAGCAAACTATTATATTTCGTTAATTCAAGCATATCCTCGAATCATTGTCATCAGGCGTATTGTGCCGTCATTAGAAAGTGCATCATGTCGAAAGCGTCCACTTTTATCTGATTATCCGGCCACTCTGGCCTCTCGAGGAGCGCGCGCGCGCGCGCGCGAGATTTTTCCACGGGAGAAAATCCACCTGACGAGGTTTATATCGCGGCCCGTGGAAGGAGAAAAAAGGAAAAAGCACGCGGGAAGAAAAAGCGTGGCGAATTTTCTTCGAGTCCGTGCGTGCACGCGGGATTTTAACGCCTAATTGATTCGCTCTAATTAGTTGCCGCCCTCGCGGACACAATTAGAAAGTAAGTCTCGTGTATTGTGTGTACTCACACGTCGGCAATTGCTGAGGTATCTGGGCTGCGTGTGCGCTGCTGCTGCTGTGCCTCGTTATTGTGATCTGGAAAGAGGGGAAAGGCATGTTTTAGATCTTCTCGCTTAATAAGATACGATTGTTAGCGGCAACTTAGCTACGCGCTGTATCGTTGACGACGTCGCTCCGCGGCGTGTGCGTGCGCCGAGGAGCGTATATCCGAACGCGCAAATGAATAGCGCGAAAGCAGTACACGATATATTGTAATATCTACACGCCTGTAGTGACACACGCACATACATACACGCGCATGCACGCAGATAAGAATAGTGTTGTTATATTCTACTTGATAACTGTACGGAGAAGAATAATTTTGCTCTTTTTAGTAAAATCGTCGTTGCTATTTGTAGTAACATCAAAAAAATTTAGTTGATGTAACTAATTTTATAAATTATTCGTTATCATAGCAGAAGTAGTTTTGTTGCCAGGATAGAACAAATTTGTTGAGTATATTTGTTCTAAGAATCACGTTAATTTGCTATTGATACAAAATAATGTATGCTTAGCAAATTTATTTGCTATTGGAAAATTGCAAAATTGCAACTGCTTATATAAATTCATCATGGTTCTTGTAGCAAAATAATTTATAGATTTAGCAAATTATATCCAGCAAATAGTGATTAGTACTCTTAGCAAATCTTTTGACTATCCATATAATAACGAAAAGATTTTGCTTGACTAACAGAAAATTTGCTGGGCCAGCAAATTATTTTTCTCCGTGAAGTTAAATCATATATCTATCTTTGTCTAAATTAAAAGAAAAACAAAGACACACGGAGAAAAATAATTTTGCTCTTTTAGTAAAATCGTCGCTGCTGCATATTCGTAGTGACATCAAAAAAATTTAGTTGATG